TTTTCGGGGTTCAGGCTGATTGGGTTCTTATATATCGGGTATTTTAGGTGAAATCAGCCTGAAAGTGTTCTCAAGTGTTCTTAATTTTTTACTTCTTAAAAATTGTAAGGGATTTACTAACTGATGAAATACATAACTTATAATTGTAATTATAAGATTTTTAATTTCAAATACAGTTGTTGTACATTTGCTATACACAGCAAGTGAAATTACCAGCATTTATACAGAGATCTTAGTGCAATATCACAGTAAAGCTACAGACACTGTTTGTTCTATTAAACTGAAAAGGGAAGAGTTTTTATATATAAGAACAATTTTCAATTTTCAAGGTGAATGTGTTCTTATATATATGCTCCGTTTTTACCAAATTTCAGCCTGGGTGTTCTTAATCCATATGTTCTCGTATGCGGGTTTTTACTGTATCGTCAGGCATTACGTAAAACTTGTAAGATACCATTTTACCTGATTTACATTCAATGAAGAGTGATTCACGATCATACACGAGAAAGGATAGGCTGAACGAAAAAGGAGTAAAACATGTTTTTCAAAATCGCAAGAGAAAACATTCAACTTCTCAAAATGCATCGACTCCGAATGTTACTATTTTAGAAATAACCTTCGAACCTCCCGTCGAAAGTTGTCTTAGTGTAATCGTATAATTTTGTATCGTGAGGTCGGAAAGTACACTGATTCGCACTGCGTAGCTCATTTGTAACAGATTAGAAATATTTACCGAAACGTGACTTCGTGCTACTATAAACAGCTCGGTAATAGCAGAATAGCAGAAATAATCGGTAAACTGTAATTGGATAAATTAAAGCTTCCGCGTGTCTGTACTTGCCTCGCAGTATTAGCATAACTAGCGGAAGTGAAATTTAAGTCGTCTACGAGATTTAAGGGACCTTAAGAAACCACGACATAATACTGAATAATAATAATAATAATAATAATAATAATTTAAACAGGCTAACTCAAAAGCCTCCTAGTTATCCTACCCTCTGGGCTCCACCAATTATGACCTGTGCTTCTTGTGAATAATTTTCCTATTTTATTGCAATTTCATTTTTGTGAGACTTTGGCACCATACAAAAAGGTATCTTGCGTTTAAGGATCTTGCGTCATGCCGCATCTTTAGATATTCCGCCATTCCACCGATCTATCGTTATTCCGTTCCATCACGCTGTTGAATAACTTAACTGCAGTGCAGGCGTGTTATTAGATGCGCGATAAAGTAGCGCGGGATCATTTATTCAACTGATCATGTTTACACTGGACTTACCGTCAGTCGACGGTGGAGAGAGTGGGCGGGAAGGGGCAATAATCACTCCCAGCCCTCACCCCCTCATTTTTGAACTGTAATTGGATAATTTGACGCTTCAGCGTGTCTGTACGGGTCTCGCTGCGCGTAAGTGAAATTGAAGGTCTTTAAGGTTCCGTCCTCCTAATATACCCAGGGGCTTCCCAGGGTATACAGTAAAAACCCGCATACAAGAACACCCATTTTCGGGGCTCAGGCTTATTCGGTTCTTATATATCGGGTATTTTAGGTGAAATCAGCCTGAAAGTGTTCTCAAGTGTTCTTAAATTTTTACTTCTAAAAAAATGTAAGGGATTTACTAACTATGATGAAATACATAACTTAGGCGACGGCAACGAGGACGTGGAAAAACAAGAGATCTAATTGGCAGAACAATAGCTCAGCACGTGCGTTTTGAAACTTTGTACATTTCTTAGCCGTCCTATGCAAAACAACAACGTGAAATCGCCAAAATTTGCGTCGTCTGCGAACCGAAACCGCGACGGCAAATTATTTTAATTTCCATTTGGAACTCAACGGCTACTTTATACGTCATGCTGAAGTTGAGCTGTGGCGCTGTATGAGACAGTAAGCTCCTGCAGCCATTTTTGAAATTCTAACTAAGAGTAGAAATTCATTTTTTTATCGAAGTCTTCCTTGGCGTCGCCGTCGTGGTTTCTTAAGGTCCCTTTAATCTCAGAGGCACGTTGATTCAGTACACATTTGCAGTCAAGGAATAAGGACATCAGACCGACCGTGAGTCACGGAACAGATCAGGACTCAGTAACTGCTCCTCGTTATGGGTATGGAGGTATGCATTCATGATAACTGGCTAAATTATCCTGTAGCGGACGGCGACTGCCTACAAGGTACGTAAATGTCAAATCCTGTTATCTCTTTCTGTTTTGTTATCTTTTTCTGTTTTTGTTCTGAGAGGGCTTCCCAAGGTATACTATCGACAGACATTACGTAAAACTTGTAAGACACCCTTTTTCTTTGATTTGCAAGCACGGAATAGTAGCTCACGATTCTGAGATGAAAGAAAATTTGAGATTTCGAAAGAACGTACGATCTGGATAGTCTTAGATTTCTCTTTAGGCCGTTTCTTGAGGGGTTAAAGCTTTAATGATTTCTCTTGAATGGTTCTGAGTTGTGCCCTGGAGTGATTTCAATAATTGAATATGGTGTGACTCTTAATTTTCATAAGTCGGTTTGCCTTTTGACACATCTGAAGAATATAGCTATGGATATAGCAAAGTCCGAAAAGGTTTCTCTCGCATCTATAAAGTGTACATAAACGATACTTATATCGCGCCGACGGTTAACATTTTAAAAACCTATTTCGTGGTCTTTTTTCTTCCTCTTGAACTGAAAACGATCAGGATGGTTTTGTTCGTTAAGCAGCAACTTCCTTTTGTCTAACACCAGTACACTAAAAATAAAACTTTGAGCGAACACTTCCTCCTATGCAATCTGAGTAATTGATTGTTCAAATTTGTAGCAGGAAGCTTTCGACCATCTCTTTCACTCGCGTTTCAACTCTGAAATTTTTTGCGTACAGGATTTTAGTGCTAAATTTCGAACAGAATAGAAAATGCCTCCAGAAAATTGGCAATTGTCAAGTAATGGATTCTTGTGTTCAAAGTACAAGAGAAAACTAGCAATTGCTCAATCCTGAACACGCATAATTTATATAACCACGTGACCGTCGCAGCCCCTGCTCACTGATTGACGTAAGTCGAGGCATTTTTATCCCTGACTCGTGGCCAGATCAATAGTCGGGAAGACTTCTGTAGCTTCAAACACGCGATAATAAATCCTGAGCTTACAAGAGGAGGCTATTTATAAGGTATTCATGTACACAAATATTTTTGTTGATGTTTTTTTCAAGTAGTTTGGTACAATGACGGTTTATGGTGACCAATCATTCCAGCATGCATTTTACCGCCTCTATGTAGACAACAACGTCGCCGCGGCACTCACATAAACTGAACTTGGAAAGTTGTACATTCTGAGCGTTCTAAATCAGATTAAAAACTAAACGAAACGMAYYAAAWTMSRMGGSRMYAKKASRTTTWAAAWTRCKAAWWWWAWRC